TTCCTCTGTCCAAACGCCTGTCTCTCTCTCCTCCAGGTGACCAGCTGCGCCTGGGTGCCCGATGGCTGCCAGCTATTTACAGGCAGCAAGTGTGGAGTCATCACCGCCTACAGCAACCGCTTCACCAGCACCACGGTGGGTTTCCATGGCGACGTCCCCCTCTAACCTTCCGCCTCCACATCAACACCCAATCCACCCACCCACCTCCCATTACCCCCCACCATCCCCCCTCCCTCCCTACCCCTCTTTAGACCGCCTCACCGTGCTCAAACGCTCAGCTTCATTAGTCACATCACAGTTGCCCTTGAAACACATTTCCACCGAGCCTACAAGTGGGATTAGAGGTCTGGGAGTTCAGTCATCAGAGAGGCTTTCAGACTTTCATCGGTCCCCACCAATAGGAATCTAGATTTCCTATTTTCTCTGTCTCTGAAGGGTGTTTCAGAAGCAATTGATTTGTGCTGTTCAGAAAATCCTGTTGGAGATTCATTAATGCAGGTTTTTTTTTTAGCAAACAGTAAAACCGAGATGCCTCATCCATGCTAACCCTGAATCACATGCAGCTATTCAGATCTGGATGTCCTCTGTAGATGGGCTCTAATATGTGTCTGGATTTGGAAACTGTCTCTTCACAGCCGTCAGAGATGGAGGTGGAATCTCAGGTTCACCTGTACGGACACACGGGGGAAGTCACCAGCCTGTTTGTCTGCAAACCCTACAGCATCCTCATCAGTGTCAGCAAAGATGGCACCTGCATCCTCTGGGACCTGAACAGGTCGGTGTGTGTGTGGGATATGAAAACAGAAGGAACTGCCCTAAAGGGACACTTCAACCCAAAGTCAAAAATAGATGTTTTTCCTCTTCCCAGTAGTGCTATTTATCAATCTAGAATGTTTTAGTGTGAGATGTCTGCCTACTCCCAAATATAATGGAACTAGATGGCACTCAGCTTGTGGTGCTCAAAGTGCCAAAAAATACATGTGAAATACATACACCATATCACAGTACAGAAGGAAGCGTGCATCTACAGCTAGCTCCATTAGCACCACTGAGCTAGTTAACTTTACAGCTTAGTCAAGAAGGAAACCATTAATGTTTTAATCTCCTGCTGTCATGAGCATGAGCCTCTCGTCCATAAGGAGATGCACGCTTCCTCCTGCATGGTGATGCAGTTGGCAAGTGTAGTTTGGTAGAAGGAAAATAGTTCCTACATGAAGCTGCTCACAACAAGGTCTGCGGATTATCCTGAGTAACTGTGTCATGATTTCTGGAAAGAGACATTTTTCACATGTATTTTTTGGGACTTTGAGCACCACAAGCTGAGTGCTAGTACCATTATATTAGAGAGAAGGCAGACATCTCTACCGCGATATCTCCAACATTTGGCAATTCACACCAAAACAATCTAGACTGATAAACAGCACTACAGGTAAGAGGAAAATATGTATTTTTGATTTTGGGGTGAACTGTGACTTTAATGATTTGTATGTCTTCTGTGTGTAGTAAAGTAAAGTGGTGCTCTGTCTTTCTTCAGGCTCTGCTATGTACAAAGCCTCACAGGCCACAAAAGCCCAGTGACTTCAGTGTCTGCCAGCGAGACTACGGGTGACATTGCAACCGTTTGTGACTCAGGTGAACGCCGCTCCACTCTGTGTCCTCTCAGGCTTCATCACACCGTCTTGTAGACTGAAACAATGTTGTGAGTTATGACACATGATTCTGTGTTTCCAGTGGGCGGAGGCAGCGACCTGCGTCTGTGGACGGTGAACGGTGACCTAATCGGTCACGTCCACTGTAGAGAGATCATCTGTTCCGTGGCATTCTCCAACCAGCCCGAGGGCGTTTCTGTCAATGTCATCGCTGGTGGGCTAGAGAATGGCGTCGTCAGGTGAGCAGGGATTTGGTTTTTTTTGTTTTTTATGTGCTTCTTTTTTTCTCAAGCCACTGAATCATCCACACTTTTGTCTTCTTCTATGTGTGAAATATTTCCAGGTTGTGGAGCACCTGGGATTTAAAACCAGTGAGAGAGATCACCTTTTCCAAGTCAAGCAAACCCATCATCAGGTATCTCACTAGCGCTACAACCCTGCTAGTCTTTGCTTTTATATGAGATGCCACCACTGTGAATATATGTTTAATAATACTGATGGTAATGTCCTCTCCTGTGTGCCGCAGCCTGACTTACTCGTGTGACGGCCACCACCTCTACACAGCCAACAGCGAGGGCACAGTGATGGCGTGGTGTCGGCGGGACCAGCAGCGCATGAAGCTGCCCATGTTCTACTCCTTCCTGAGCAGCTACGCCGCAGGCTGACTGTGTGTCTGACGTTTACTACTGTCCAGTTCTCAGCAAGAGGAGCCCCCCCCCCTCCTCCTTCTCCTCCTCTTCCTCCTCCTCCTCCTCTCTGCACTGACAGGGAGGAGGACATGTCAGCATGGCCTCAACCTCCCTGAACCCTCCCTAATTTTTATCTAAAGCCATCCCCAGCTGAGCAAACTCTCCCACAGCCGCTCCCAGCATCAAGATTATGAAAATAGTATTATATGTATATAAATATATATTTATAAACATACTGAAGTGGAATGTCGGGGGGAATAGATGAATATTTGGCTGAGGCTGCAACAGACACTTTATACAAAATGCATTTCTGAGAGCGTGTTTGGTTTGTTATGTCTTTTATTTTTGTTTCTCGCTGTTGAGTTTTTGTTGTGCAGAGATCCTTGCCTGATGTTGATTTTGCTGTTTCCTGGTAAGCTGCTATCGTCCGGCCAAAGCCGGACCCAAAGTGTGAAGATCCCCCCCCCGTCTCTCACCTCGGTGGCACTCGGATCTCCCACAGCGCGTCGTCTGGCAGATTGCTGCCGGAGCTCGGCGAGCATTGTCCTGCTGATGCTGCAGTAGCCAGGAGGGAGGGAGCCCCTCCTCGCGTCTGTCACCGGGAGACGTCCCGCTCTGTGGGAGTGAGACGCTGCTCTGCTGGGCTGTCTGCTCCACTCAAGTCTAAACACTAGTGTCACGGCCCTGCATCACTTTGTATCTGAGCTCAGCGGAGGGATGGGGGGGGGCGTTGGGATGAATTATTCCTTGTGTTGCCTGTTGTTCTGTCCTACTTTTGCATGCTCGAATGATGCTGACCTTGACTGTCTGTCTGTGGATGTGACATTTACTGTCATGATACTCCTTTATTAAGACCTGCCTTGGTGGAACCTGTCCTTTTGCATTAAGAAGTGTTAATATTCATTTATTTATTAGAAGCACCATGGAGGCTCATCTTTACTTCTTTCCTTCTCTTGTGTTTTACCAACTTGTCGCTCAAATGCACTAAAACTTTCTTCACTACTTAATTTAGTTTGCTGAGATTCTGAGAAAGCAAATAACAAACAGCAGTAGATGCCTGAAGCTGGAGAAGAAGCAGAGAGGAATCTCCTGAATGCCCCCTCGCTGATTTACAAGGCACGCTTAGTACCTGTGCAGCATTACAAAACGGGTGTAGTAGGTGGGAGGGCATGGTGAAGAGCGTCATATCCAGCAGACTGAGGTTCGAGAAGTTAGCGTTTCCTGCACTGATGAAGGTTTACAGCTCATCTCAGACTCTTACACACTACACTGATCAGTCCAGGAAACAGTCCACCAAACATTTCTCTCCTCAACCCACCCATGGATCCATGCAGCTATTCTTTACATTCCCACTCAGCCTACAGCACTTTCAGTTTGTCTGTCAGTATGTGTGTGAAATGGTAGTCAAAGCACTGTTTCGTCAGCTACCATTTAATTCAAGGAGAGCCAATGATCTGTGGTCTTAACGTGAACTGAGCTTTGATTTAACTCCACTAATAAATCTAATCCAGAAAGCAATATCAGACACGCAATAGGTCTTTCTTGTCATGTTTCATATGGGAAGAAGTTTGTTTTAACACAGCTGTGATTAAAAAAGAAGTTGTTTTGCCTTTGTGTCGACTGCAGTGAGCCTTCTGTGATGAAAAATGATGTCTTAAATTTTACACTTGGTGTTTGACTTGTTTACAAGAAAGGGAATATTTCTTCTTACATCAATGACGTCATTCCTTTTGTGTTGTTCTCCTGATTTGTTTTTTTTTTTTGTCTCCCTCTCAGCCCACCTGGACCCTCGTTGCGTGCAGCATCAAACCTGTACAAGACCTGATTTGTTACTGTGTTTGTTTACTGTGTTTAATGCCTGCATGTGTACATACATTTTACTCCTTGAAATGTATAAAAGTCTATGAGAACCACAACCTTTTCTTGTCTCTCCAACATCCACATGTGAAATTGTATGAATGTTTTTTCCCTCTTTTTTGGAGAAAATGGCAAAAAGCAGGGAGAAAAACTTGATAGTAATAGATCATGTTTTTTTCTGACACAGGAGGAAATATTATTTTTCTGTTGAACTATGCATAATTTAAGATCTTTGTCTAGAGTCGCTTAAATTGTGTCATTTAATTGATGTCTCCGGGCTGGTTTGGCATCATGGACTGAGGTTCTGAAAGGACATGTTTTATGTTTCTGTTTGTTTGTATATACAGTATGTGCGTGTGTGTATGTATGGACAAACCAAGTGATGAGTATAATATAAATATAGAAATATATATAAATATTTGAAGAAATATGACAACACCTTGTTTGTGTTTTTTTTTAATTTGTGTGGAGAAAGGTGCGTTCAGGGGCATCTAAAGCTAGAAGGAACCTCGGTGATCTTGCACAAATGGCTTAGATTAGAGGCATGACGAGGGAAAAGATTATTATGATTCACAAAGATGGAATCAGGATTTTTAATCTGGATGCAAATTCCCCCCAAAGAGCGGCGTTGTTATGGATGAGGCCCAGCAGTTACTATGGGGGGGACCCGGTGATGTCAAAGCTGATGTAAAAATGAAATCGGGAAGCCTGCAGATCTCAGGTGCCTTCTGCAGCAATAAAGCAAATTAGAAAAGCAGCATATCCTAATTCGACTAATAAGGCTGCCTTGGTGCGTTTAGGGCCAGTTTGTACAGTAGAAACGCACCGTGCCTTGTTGCTGCTGCAGCTCCTGGTCCACTGATCGAGTGCTCCCTGCCCCACAGCCTGTATCTGATCGTCATACAGAGGTTTCCCCCCCTGCTGCATGCGTAACATCTCTCCAAGTCCAGCCGTGGTGCTCACCAAGACCTCACCGCTTGGATCTCATCTTCCTACACGGAATACGCACGACTCACACTGAGCGAGCCGCTGAGGCGAAATTAAAACGCCAGGATTTACCTCCTCGGGTTCAGTCCAGACCGAATCGAGGCTGGGATTTCCTCTTATCATTTGATATTTGACAGATCCTCTTTTTGTGTGTGTGTGCGTGCGTGTGTGTGTTGGGTGGAGTCAACCCGGAATTCTCCAAATTGGAAAACCATTGGCACATTTCAGGTAGGTCGGCGGCTGTAGCCTACATTAATGTGCTCATAGCCGAGCGATGCAGCGAAGCATCCACAGAGATGTTTTTATGTCATTCTTTCATGCAAAATCATTTGTGTTTTTTGTCATCATGTTTGCTTTGCTGTTTTTCTGCTCTAACCAGGGCCGCAGCTCGCACGGCGTGTGTCCACAATTTAATCCCCTTAAAAATAAGAGTCGCCCATGTTTGACAGATCTGCATCAACAATTAGCATCGTTACATTCGGATAAAACGCCGTAGAGCCCGCTAAAGCCCCAGATGGAGCCGTGTGAGCACCAGGATGCACGGATCGGAGGGAAACCTAAATGGAAGAGGCCTGATAGCTTCCTACGAGGGTGTGATTAAAAGCTATAAATTGGCTTTAGAGGCATGAAGGGTGGGTTTGGAGGATGAATTCACCGTCTGCAGCCCCCCTTTGCAAAACATCTGCTTCATTATATCCGTTTAAATGCTGTTAAATTCGACCTGATGCGATGAAAATGGAATAAATAAGCAAATCGATGCAACAAAAACACACAAAAAAATCCACTGTGTGTGTGAATTGATCCAACAGCACCCCACCTCAGTGAAATGCTTCACATTGTCATGCACGTTATTATAAAACACAGCTGTGGTCAGGTGTCATGTCTCTCTCTGCTGTGGCTGCCAAACTGGGACATTTCAGGAGTGAGGGGGTCAAGGGGCCTAAAAATGAGAGCCAGATTTAGTCATTGCACTGATAGAGGCACAGAGAGGCTGATTGCTATGGAGCAGGTTGATTACTCTGCAGTTGCATTGATGCACATTGTGGAGAAAGTTGAGAGGATGAAGGCGAAGAGTGGACGGATCTGCTCCAGTCTGTGTAGGTGCCGGGGCAGGGGATGGGAAAGTTGCAGGTTCGGTTCCCTCGGAAGGGTCAGAGACCTTAAATTCAAAGGAAACGAGGGAATAAAAACTCCCAAAATGTCTGCTGTAGTGCCCTTAAGCAGAGCACTTGAGCAAACAAGAATGACTTGACCACAACAGGAGAAATAATCACGCATGAGCACTGACTGTAAAATGACAAACCGCTGACCAGCTGCTGCCTTTTGAGCTCTTTCTTCAGACAAAATGAGGCTTGGCTGCTGTTAAACTGATTCCCCCAGACGAAATGGGTCCTTTAAATAAAAAAGGTTGTGGAAGAGAATGGCTGCTCCAAGGGGGGGTGGGGGGGGGGGGGGGCACATGGCCAAGGGAGACGCTGCTTTGTGGATGTAATGTGATGTTCATTCACTCTTTGTGTCCCCCTTTGTGCCTGTGTTTGGCGTCACAGGAGCATCATGAAGGACGGTATCGCCAACAACAGCACGGCCAGCATCTCCCAAGCCAGGAAAGCTGTGGAGCAGCTGAAGATGGAGGCCTGCATGGACAGGATAAAGGTACAGGGCTTTTATTTTGTACCTGTGTCCGTGAGCAAATATTTCCATGCCTTTCTGTTTGACCAATTATGGATTAATAAATCACCTGGCTCAGTCACACAGAGAATTTTTGGAAGCTGTCTGTATTGCTATTACATGCAACTACAAGCATTGTTAGGTCCGTATATTAATGTGATTAATGCCATAAAAATCTGTGCAGCTAACCTCCACATGAGTGTTTAGAGCAGTGTATGAGTGACCACTGTTAGCTCCCAGCTAACGTTTCATGTCTGAACAATCATTCATTTAACCCAGTAAGATGAAACACAGATGCTGTTGTCCAAAAACAACACATCACAAGCCTCACCGTTACACTGACCGCAATATACCTTCATCTAAATAGCCACTAGTTCAATTTGACTCCATCCCACATACACGTCCTGCTGCTGTAAAAGTCACTAGCGCACCAATTGTGTATTAATCCGCAGCTCAAATTAGTTCCCTATTAATACACTGTTTAGTCCTGTTAGAGTAACGTTTCATAAAAGCTACGGTGCCCAGCTATGTTGGGGAATTACTGAGCTACTACCTCTTCTACTTAATAAAAAAGATAGTATATATTTTTTAAGATTTACTTCTCTAGTAGGAGCATATGGCCTCAGGGGCTGAGTGTTACAGAGAGGATGGGAAAGTTTTGAGACACATTTTTGGTTTTGGTCATTTTAATGGCATCTGTTTTTAGAATATTGACAGCCTTATCCTTTAAACCGTCACAGGGGAAAATGTCAGGAAGACCATGATGGGGTTTTATTGCATGGATTTAGGCAGATGAGAGAAAACGTGAGATCTGGACAATGCAACGCTGCATTTTAAAGAATAATTGCATAAAAGAACAGACATGAAACATTCTTGTAAACAATACGACGTCACCATAGCAACATATCATTGTGCGTGTTTAATTTTGCCATCCTGTCATTCTGTCGGACTGTTTTGATTGTTTTGCCCGGGCCATTCAGAGGGCTTTGTCCATCTACCGTCTCAATCCATGTGAATGCAACATTAGCCATCAGCTCCTCTGTGACAAACTACACGTGCTGCCATCTTGACTTTTTAAACCTCCAAACACAAAATTAAAATTGTCATTTTAGGAAATACAGTAAGTCACATTCTTGCTGAGAGCCAGATGAAAAGATTGATGCCAATCTTGCGTCTAAAGTAAATACGAAGCTGTAGAGAGCAGCCAGTTAACCTAGCTTAGCATAAAGACTGTAAACAGTGGTGAACAGCTTGCCAAGCTCTATCAAAAGATAACTGCCAACTAGCACCTCTAACGCGCGCTAATTACCACGTTATGTACCTCAATATATCTGGTTTGGTTGTACCTGGCCAAGAAATAATCCTGCAAACAAACACCTGGAGAACATTAACAATCTAGTATTTGTACAAATTAAACAAACAAGATGCAGCAATGAGCTTTAGAGGTGTTGGAAGATGAATTGTTGCTCCCGTCACACTCAGGCTAGACGTTTCCCCCTGTTTACAGTCTTTATGCTAAGTTAAGCTAACTGGCTGCTCTCTCCAGCTTCATATGTATAGAGGTCTGTTTCCCTACATGCCGTACTCCTCTTTAGATTTAAATGCAGAAGCAGACAGTGTATCAACTTTGCCATCCACAAAGATTTTAGTCTTAATGTTGATTCATTAGTCCACTTTTGTGCAGTAGTTGCCATCTCAGTGCATTATGAATGCATTAACCCATATATTGGATGGGCTGATACAGTAGCAGTAAACCATCATCATCATCATCATCGTCTTGTATCTGTCCTTCATGGAGTCTCTGCTCTGAAAAAGACACTGATTCAGCACTGCACTACTATAACAATGTCAGACAGTCTCTCTAAAAAGAGTAAAAATTGATGCAGCTGATTCAGAGATATCAGTATGTCTTTAATATTCCACGCATTGCTCTTCTTTGTCAAAACCTTGAGCCTACATTACCCACAATGCAACTCGGTCGCAGACAATTCAGATGGAGGTCCAGGTGTGTTGTGCTAGTGGGAGCTTATGTTGCCCTGAGCTGCCTCAAGCAGAGATGAGGAGCATCAGGGTATTTTTTTGAACTTGTAGTCTTCGGCCTCAGTCCACGCTGACTCAAGTGACATCACCTGAGACAGTTTATCAGATTTAATGCAGCTCCCTCTGAAGTCACTTGATAAACTTTCATGATCGATCATCATTAGAGTTGATGTAATTTATTCCAGCAGTCGACTGTGAGGTGACAACAAAATTAACGTTACTCAGCTCACTTTAGTGAATTTTTTTCTGACAGATGTCACATGAAGCTTCAGTTCACCTTGAAAGCACCAGCCACCACCTCTCTGTCAGAGTGTATCCGCTGTGCACAGCTGGGCGACCCATGTAGCATCAATGTGGTAACAGTGAGGGATGAACCCAGAGGCGTGCTGGGCTTCTGTGATTGTTGACCGCTTCTGACATTAGTTTCCTACCAATTTGGGTCATCTTTCCTGAGTGTGATCGCTGAGACTGCCCTTTGTTAGCACTTTCTAATGCAGGCCTCTTCTCATCTTGCATTGCCAGTGTTTGATTTCTCCAAGTGTGCAGCGGGCTGATGAGCCTCCCTGGTTTGAATTTGCAGTCGTAGCAAAGAAAATGTGGACAATGTGTTCGCAATAATCATATTCCCGATACTCATAACCTCCTGCGGCTTTTATTGTGAAGCAGTTGAAGCATCATAAAGCGTGTATGTCCTTATCAAACAACACCTGGTTAAATATTGACTTTGAAGCCCTTTACACTCTTTATGGTGGAGGTCAGTCACCATGCTTTAAAATGTCATAATATTCACACTGTGCTTGAGATTTCTATATTCCAGTCATTACATTGAACCATTCCTAGAAGTCATTGTTTTTACTGTGTGATCTTTGCACCCCAATAAACGGCTGTTTTACATCTTTCTGGTGTGTGAAGGAGGCGGCGCTTCTCGATACGTTCATGAACGACTTCTTGGGGAACTTAAAAGGCCGTGTCATCATCTCATTCGGTATGCTCCTCATGTGCTCAGGGAATGATTGCCCCACAGCCCCGAGGCTGTGCGCTCAGCATTATCGCCGGGTCCTGGAAGCCTGCCATACACCATCATCCCTACTCAGCACAACAAAGACCGCTTACAAGAAAACCTCCTCTTCTTAACAATAAAACAAAGTGATTATCCCCGATGTGTAATCGCAGTTTGGAGGATGTATCAGGAAGACCTCTAATTTAACCTACAAGTTCACTTTTTAGTACAACGTCTCGTTTAAATCTCTTTCAGATATTTGCATATTTTTAATGAGCAGAGTTGGACTTAATATACTCTCAGATATCGATAATGGTATCAGGCAAGAAATCGTTGTTTCATTGACTATTAAAGCAACATTACCGTGGTGTTTTTTATATATATATTTTACAAAATACAATATCAGTACTTTTTTTGAATGCAGGAGTTAAGATCTAACCTTTAAAGTACTGTATTAGACACACTGTTTTTTCCAAGAGTGTTGGGCTACGGTTCCACTCGACTGTACTGTGATTGGCTAGTACATGTCACATCAACATGTTGGGTTCGGATGTGGTTAGAGTTAAGGCAAAGAGGACATAGTTAGGGTTTGTACTAGCCAATTACAGCAGAGGCGACACACTCTTGAAAAAATAATGATGCTGATCAGACACAGTCTCTGGCAGCCTTATTGAAGGTTCTCCCTTCTAAACGACAGTTTCTAGCTCTTTCCATTTTTAAACAGAGCCCGCAACTTAATGCTGTTTCGACAGAATGAAAGCAATGTAGTTGATTTTTGTGCCACTTGTGATTCTTCTCAAGCTGATTTAGGACACTGAAACGCAACACTTTGCACGTTGAGTCTTGTCTCAACCAGAGGCGGATTTAGGATTGTAGGACATCCGGGGCTTAGCCCAGATGGTGAAAGAAATGTGCACGCTGGTGCTTTTGTTTTTTGCTGCATCACCACACCCTTCAAATTACCAGTCACTAACCTGAAACAGCTCGTGGTGCCGGATTTGAATTAAAAAACTTCTGAATATCCATATTCTTCTTTCGTCTTTCTTCTTCTTCTTCTTCTTCTTCTTCTTCTTCTTCAGCATCCGGGTACTCGCCGTGACCACCGGCTGTTCACTGACAATCGGAAGTGCTCCGCTTTCACCCACGGTTATGGGAGAAAAATGTTACCCTGGAGAATAATAAACTAGGAAACACTTCTTCTTCACGGCAGGCCCAGGCAGGCTACGCAGTATGCAGGCTACTTTCCCGCCTCTCTGTTGGGCTCCGGTACTGCACGTAACTCACGTGACTTTTTTTTTTTTTTCCAAAGTAAAATTCACATTCGGGGCTTTTCAGAAAACATCTGGGGCTTGAGCCTAAGTAGCCACCCCTTAGCCCCGCCCCTGGTCTCAACCAAGCAGCAGCCTCCAGAGCTGAAAGATGAAGCCAACACGGAGGTTCCAAACACTGCAGTTCTCTGAATTGCCACTTGAGGCTGGCTCCAGAAGCCAGTCAATCCCCATAGACACTCATGTTAAAATTCCTGACTTAACAGCAGAAATAAATATGTTTACAGCCTGGTACAAAAACAAGTTCGGTCTCTATAGCTAATTTACCCCTTTATGACAACTGTATGGGGTGGATTTTTATATAACTCACCCAATTACATTTTATTAAGGCTTAAAATTAGACATAATTAAGGGCGGGCTGCTTTGAGTGACAGGCTGTCTGCTGATAGCGTCCACAGCGCCCTCTCACCAAAATATGGTCACTTCTGGCTCCAAAAAAAAACAGGATGTTTCGGCCGAAATGCCAGACTCGAGGCTTTAAAATAGGAGTCCACAAACCAATAAGTGATATTACGGTAGCTACATCCATTGTATTAACAATCTATGGTCTCATTGTGCAACCTACAATGTTTGATTAAACACTAGGACTACTGCCACAGTCATGTCATATCCTACCA